AAAGGTATAGGGAGAGAGAGAGGAACCCTGGCTTAGGCCTATAACTAAAACATGATATAGATGGGATAGTTAAAAACAGAAGTCCTCAGTTCCATTGCACACAAGCATAGACTTGATGTGTTTAAATCTGCAGCCACCTTGGAGGACTTTTCTGTTAGCATTCAGGACGATGCCGAGTGACCAGGTACATTAGTACCTGTGTTGACAACACTGTGCCCACCATACAGGTCAGGAGGTTCCCCAGCCAGAAGCCCTGGATAAACAGTCAGGTACGCCACATGCTGCGTGCTCACTCTCATGCATTCAGAGCAGGTGATGAGATGGAGTACAAAGCGGCAAAGTACAGACCGAGGAAAGCCATCACAGCGGCCAAGAGGCAGTACAGAGAGAAGCTGAATGGCTTCTATTCTACTGCTGACTCTGGACGGATGTGGCAAGGCCTGCAGCACATCACAGACTACAGGACCACCACCAGCATTATCAGCTCCACAGACAGCCTGCCGGATGACCTCAACACCTTCTACACCCGCTTTGAGACCTCCAGCCACAGCACAGAGAGGAGGCCCACACACACCGAGACCACCCAATCCCCCACCACCTCCCCTCCACCAACTGTCTCACCAGGCCAGGTATGCACAGTCCTGAGGAAGATCAACCCCTGCAAAGCGGCAGGACCGGACAACATCCCTGGGAGGGCCCTCAGGGCATGTGCCAGTGAGCTGGCTGATGTTCTCACCACCATCTTCAACCTCTCCCTCAGCCAGAGCATCGCTCCCCTGCAGTATGCCTACCGGCCCAACAGGGCCACCTCAGACACCATCGCGGCTGCACTCCACTATTCCCTTTCTCACCTGGAAAATGGAGACTCCTACATCACGATACTCTTCATTGATTACAGCTCTGATTACAGTTGTCCCCCACAAACTCACCCACCAACTGTCCATGCTGGGTCCCAATCTCTGTGACTGGCTCCTGGACTTTCTGACTGGCAGGCCCCAGACTGTCAGGATTGGTAATAGGACTTCAGCCAGCATTGTTACAAACACTGGCACCCCACAGGGATGTGTCCTCAGTCCCATCCTCTACACCCTGTTCACCCACGACTGTGTCGCCTCCCACAAAGACAACATCATCCTGAAGTTCGCGGACGACACCGCAGTGATAGGTCGCATCACTGGCGGGGACGAAGCAGCCTACAGGAGGGAGGTGGACGGTCTGGTGTCATGGTGCAAGGACAATAATCTCAGCCTCAAGACGGACAAGACGAAGGAGATGATAGTGGACATGAGGAAGGAGAGGAGATCTCATTGGCCACTGTTCATGGGCTCGAAGTGGACAGCGTGAGCAGCTTCAAATACCTGGGTGTCCACATCAGTGAGGACCTCAGTTGGACACTCAACACCACACAGCTGGTCAAGAAGGCCCAACGGCAGCTGTACTTCCTGAGGAGGTTTGGCATGTCGCCTAGGATCCTTTGCAACTTCTACAGCTGCATCATTGAGAGCATCTTGACCAGCTGCATCACTGTCTGGTATGGCAGCACTACTGCTATGGACCGCAAGCGCCTGCAGAGAGTGGTAAAGACTGTGGAGGAGATCACCAGGACCCCACTGCCCTCTCTGCAGAGCATCTACCACCACAGAGTTCTGAAGAAAAGCTGCCTCCATCCTCAAGGACCCCACCAACCCCCAACACGGACTGTTCACACATCTACCCCCCAAGCAGAGGTTCACAAGTGTGAAATGTAGGACTTCTAGACTCAAAAACTCTTTCTTTCCAACTAATCCTAAAGAGCTAAAGGAGTTTATAATCAGGAATTACTTCATGTAATTCCACCTGTATTTTTTACATTCCAAGTTTGCACATGCATATCTGCACATGCATAATTGTACACTCACTACCGCACATCCAGCTCCAGTGTAGCATAATTAGTCTCCACTTGCTGTTTTTAAGTCCCTTTAGATTTTTTGTACTATTTATCTACCTTATATTTCACCTTGCATTGTTTGGTATTCATTGTGGACAGCAAAGTAAGAATTTCATTGTACAGGGAAACATGTTTCCTCACTGTGCACATGACTATAAGCACTCTGAGTCTTTGAGTCTTGATATACTGTAGCACGCTGCCAACCTCCAAGTCTTCCCGACAGTGTGTTTTGAAGGCAAACACTAGATGGCAGCAAATACAAGCCAGTATTCCACAAGTCTCACTTTTAAGCCACTGGGACACTGTTGAATGTCTCACTGCAAGTCACTAAATCCTCACTGAGGTACATTTTCTGCACAAGTAATATAAATATTAGTGCTGGCCATCAAATAAAATCTAATCAAGGTTAATCGCATGATTGCCCATTGTTAAATCACAATTAATTACACTTTTTAAAATCCGTTCTAAATGGTAGAACAGTCAGTAGGGCCTGCAGGAGCTCTATTAGTGCCCCCAACCCCCCAGCATGCCACAGTCATTGACAGGACAACGGGTAGCCAAAATATCTTGACCACAGTGTCAGTGCTTGCGCTAATTACAGTACGTAAGATTATTAACAGTGATTTTGCAATGAAACTTGTCATAATCAAGAACATTCTACAGAGAGTAAGGACTGAAAATTGCGACAAAGTTGTGTAACATGCCATCAATATCTATTTAGTTGGGTAAGATGCCAAATACATTACTTGTCTCATCATCTTTCACTGAGGTCTGGCAATGAGGATGACAATAATTTTCTGTCCCCATGAAAAGATTCATGACTTAATTATAAAATGCTGAGATTCAGTACAGTACTAATGCTGTTCTCGTCATTTTAGTCATAACATTATAACATATCACAAATGAGCCTATTTATGATTGGACCAGTTCAACCAAATTTATGTGAAAGGAAGGTGTTTCCTGTAAAATCCCAGGTGGAACACATTTACATACTCAGTCCTATAATTTTACATCAGATGGCTGGTGAGTGGTGCTGCCTAGCTGGTGCTGTATTTATGTCAGTGCTACTTGATGTTCTCTGTAGTCAGCACTTGCGGGTTAAAACATAATTCATTTGACATCTGAATTCAGCTGCTGCATCAATACCCACCCTAGTGCATAAGTTATTACATAACATTAAATCTATATAGTACAGAATGCAGCTATAGGAGCTGCCAGTTGCTCATATAGTAACTTCATTTAGTGGAGGTGGGAACCAAACTTATGCATCGCCAAAACCCTATCTGTAAAGAGTTGAACTAGCTCCCCTGCCCCAGAAATTAAATAAATAAAAAAATAAAAGGAAGAATCAAAAGGTTCATAAGAACGGCAAAGAAAAATCAAGCTTCCTGGCTGTGTGCTGTGCTTTATCTTGTTCCTGCAGGCCCCCTGAAACTAAGGAATTGCAATGCAAAATATAAATGAACTAGAATAAGGCCCCTGAACAAGCTAATTATTTCCTTCTAATAAAAATCACCAGAAAGAACATGTGTATGCCAGAAAGAACAAAACAGAGATGCCTCTTCCAACTCCTTATGAGAGTGTGACACCTCTGTGTAGTCAGTACTGTATTACAAAAATTCTTCTTCAGTTTTCTGACCAAGGACACCCCAGTGTAGCCTACTACTTTTATTGCAGTCAATACATTATGTTAATGCACAACTGATAATGAAATAGTAGAACCTCCTGTCTCTTCAGATAAAGTCCCCTCTAAATTATGAACTCTGTGTGTTTTATTACAGTGGACACTGAAAATGGGGGGACTCTTCATCACATAAATCACACAACACATTGGTTTTATGCCGCTGAATGTTGCTCCGACCTTGATTTGTGAGTAGTATTGCAAAAACTGTGTCAACAAGCAGAGTTGGAGCATACTGTTTGTCTTGCGGGGGTACAGACACAGCGCAGCCAAGGGAGCCTGGATACTAGTCTACCTATAGCACCTGAATGCATCTTTCTCTGTGTTTACTGGTTGAATGAGAAATGTATAAAGTCCCAGCAATTGCATTTCTGGCAACAAAAAAAAGTGAACTGGCATTTATCCCTGAGCCATGCATCACAACAAATTGCTCCAGAATCCAAGACCTTGATTTTCAGTTAAATTTAGAGAGGCAGTTAAACCTAATGGTGTGTTCAGGTGTGTATGGGACTGCCTCAAAGTGCACATTGATAAAAGAATTAAAGTTGAGTGAAAGTCTGAGCTGCAAAAATACCCTATAAATGTCATTAGCTTATTTTGTCAAAACACATAAAAGAACTACATAATTGTGATTACCACGCAATACACTGATCAATGCACACTAATGTTGATGTGTGGGTAGATAATTGTAATATGTTCAGTTATGGTCAAGTCTTCAATTATAGTGTTGTACCCGGTACTTTTTACCATACGGACTCTGAGAGATGAGACAGTCCAAGTAACTACAAAACAGTGCTAATTTATTCCATGAACACAGGTAAAAATTAACATTACACGCTCAGGCATCTTGCACCTCCAAACCCCACGCAGGCAGATGAAAGATGAAAGACCCCGAACCCACCAGGCCTGTACATTATATTTGGTTTGGGCTAACCCCATTCTACCCAGGGACGTCAAACCGTGACGTCACCTGATATGCCACCTTTACAGCTGACTGTAGCAGTAGTCAAAACATGGAGAAAATCAATGTGTGTGAGTGGGCTAAACATATCATACAGTAGCCACTTTCTATCTGGTTATCCTTGAACATAAACAACCTGGAGTAACTCATGGAAATGAGTGAGCATTTAACAGCCTGAGCTAGACATCCTGTCTACACTAAAGACATTTCTAATACAACAAGTACCTAACCAATATCTATCTGACTAAAAATACCTAACAATAGGCTATTAAGGGATAAAGTGGGTTTTTTTCATTAGATCTCTGTGGATGTTAAAAAGCAAATAATAAAGGATCTAACTGTCAAGTCTTTATAAACAAGTGATTAATAAAGGGTTTAATCATCAGTCTGAAGTTATAAATATTAACAAGTGATTAACATTGATATTTTACCTTAAGAATGCTAAGAAGTCATTAATAGGGGTTTGGTTATTCATTTGATCATTTTGTAGGTATGGATGTTAAGTCGTATGTGAAGGTTTTTGTAATCAAGTCAACAGGCTGTTGATTATGTTGTCCATATAGTCTGCAGGCCATTTCTATAACTAAACAATCCAGCCAGTCTTGATAACCCAAATGTTGTTCTCACAACTGTTATATAATGTAATTATTAAGCATCACCACACTCCATAAAAAGGGTACCTTATTAGAAATTCGTTTCGAACCACATTGTGGGTAGGCACTGCGTATTTGGATGGGCAGAAAACCGCCCACCCATCAAACAGACTGGTGACAGATGATGGCTGCAAACCAGCTTTACATAATTTTGGGCCACAGTGTGGTCAGGATTTAATTGTACACAGCGGAGTTAGAGCAGTCTGCATTTCTTAAAGGAAAGTGCATATCTAGCTGTCGCGGTGATGCGATGAGGATATTGGCCACGGAGATCTGGGAGGTGTGTCAGTCCCTGCTGTCGCTCAGCTGTCTCTCCTCCTGTTATCCGTTCAGCGTGTTCGTGTGTGTTCAGAAGGAAGACACTACGATAGACACACACACCGAGAGAGAGAGAGAGAGAGAGAGAGAGAGAGAGAGAGAGAAGTTTACTCTGCTCTTGGGTGATCGCTCACTTCACACGATGGCAAGTCTGTATCCGTGTAAGGCGCCGTTGCATTGGGAGCCCTGCTGCTTTCAGTAGAACTGAGGAATCTTAAAGTGTGATTATGGCTGAATATATAGAGAGAAGCGCCTCCAGTCCACCGGTTGCTGGCTGGAAACCTGCAGCAGGAGGAGCCGGAATAAAACTGGAGATGCACCGAGAAGAACCAGTGTCAAACGGAAACTGCAACGCGTCAGACACCGCGAAGAAGGTCCAAAGCGAATCCAGCTGCGAGTCCCCGACGTGGGAGAGCACAGGTTCAGATTCAGCCGCTAAACCAATCCCTCGACGCAGCAGTCTGATCAAGGTAGGCCCCAGTTTCCTTTAAGAAAAAACAGGAAAGACTTTAGAATGTTATAAATGCAAGCAAATCGATCCAAGCCCAGAGTAGACCTCGACGAATTTCAAGGGGAATATGACATGGAGTAGGATTTGTGTACTCAAAAACCATTGAATTGCACAGGAACACTACAAGCTCCTACAGGAATGAGATGCAGATGACATTGATTGAAATAATAATAAAAAAAAAATCAACCAATAAACTTAAGTCAGCCTAAAATCATTACTGAGTCGTGCATATACATAGATGTGGAAGCCTAACATCCCAAGCCCCGTCCTCATTTAAATAAACCATTGGCACACTGTGATTCTGCTTCCTGTCACCTACCTGCCCCCCACCCCCCGTCCCGCTTCGAAAATCATTTTGCCTCATCTGACCTCACTTGATACTGCAAAGGAAATTTAGAAGATGAATAAAAGTGATCTACGCTTCCAGATCGGGTTGGGGCACGTTACACTGAATCTGTGATCTACAGAGCACTTGAAATCAGTCTTGAAACAAATTTTCATAGCTTTTTAGTCACATGTGTCATGCACTGTAGGTGATGTCGTTTATTAGCACTTCATCAGCTAGAGAGGAGGAGGAAATAAGTGAAACCACCTGCTGTAGTCGTTGATTAGGCTGCATTCAGTGTGCCCTCAATGTCCAGTTAATCCCAGTGCCTACACTGATTTACAAAGGTTTATTTGTGTTTAGCCCTTGTTAGAGATGCCACACTTATTCGCAGTTTATGTTGAATTTGGAACCAAAAGGCATTTAAAATAGTGTCGTATAAATAGCATCTACTCAATAACTCCTTCCCTGACTTTGTTGGTTTATTGTTTGGGCCTTAAGGCACATGGGAAGTCTTTTATTGATCCCTGGGTGCTGCCTGTGTCCAGAGCTACTGCCCTCAAAGACACAACAGTTTTGAACATGGCTTCACCTGTGTGTGAATGGCTTCCACTCAGCAAGACAGGAAGCCAGCAAGTTGGTCAATTTCCTCAAACACTTCATGTTGCATTATTGCTATGAAGTCCTGAGCAATTGGTGATGACATGTTACTTTCTCCTTGGCCTTATCTTTCACTGGAACACACACACATACACAAACACACAAATGTTTCTCACTCCCTTGCCCACGCATAGGCCTGCTCTTGTCAGTCTTCTGTTAGTTTCCACAGTGCAGCCAACCTGACACCGGGGATTTTAAAACACATTTTTCAGTGATGTTCTGGCATCTCACGCTCTGTGTCAGAGGTCGTAAATAACTCCTGGCGAGGGTGGTGCCTGGTCTGATGTGTGAGGTTTAATGGCTCCAGAATGTCACCTGCTCCCTAGGTACTAACTTCACTGAAGCAGAAACTGGCATGCATTTCCGGGATGATGTTGTGTTTGACTGTTATATGTTCAGTGGGCACATTTACTGCTGAGAACGTTCAGTGATCAATGAACCAAGCAGCACAGCATCTAAGATACTGTGTTGTAGTACATTTGTGCTTTCCCTGCATATGTGCTTGTGTTTTGAATTAAAAAACTCCCAAGGCTTTAGATGGAGCTCAGTGTAAAAACCAAGGAAATATGCATCAATCTGTCAGCACAACAGTGTGTTTAGTTGTTTGTTAAGTTTCCCCTATGGCTAAATTCAGGATTCCACACAGTATTAGTCTGGGTGGTATGTAGGTAGGCTGATAAACAGGAAACGAGACATTCCAGACTGGTTTTAGCAGGAATCAGGGAAATTTATGTTCAGTATGTGTGTGTGTGCTTTGGCTGAGATAATGAGAGCACCCTTAATTGTAGTTCACCAGTATGGACTTAATGCTCTCTGCTGTCCTCTCATTTATTCTGTCTCGCTCTCATATGCATGAAGGAAATGCAGAATCAGGTGCCCACTCAGTTTAGTTTGTTTCAAGTTCATCTTGATGTACTGTAGATAACCATCAGGTTCTCTCTCTTTCTTCTAAAAAACACATGCACATTCAGTCACACACACTTGCACAGACTTGCCTTCTAGTAAAATCAAGCTAGGCACTGCAAATATCTCTCATTACCCTTCCTGAGATAAAACATGGTTGGCATGTGTATGTGTGCACAATGTTGTCCTGTGAAAACCGCATATCTCCAAAATCTCAGCTTTTCAATAACCAAGAAAAGCAGGGCTGACAACACAATTTTTATACAGTCCAGTAAAGCAGAAGTGCTGTACAATAATCATCTCAGGTCGGACTGTAATACTGTAATCTGTCATGCAGTGCAGTGAATGCGTAAATCTAGTGCATGCTACCTTCATCAGTATGCATGACTGTGTGTGTGTTTTGGATGACTGTGTGTGTTTTTTCAGTCTGAAGGAGCAGCATTAACCAGAGGAGTTAGCACACAGCTGGGGATAGTAGTTGTTTAAGTCAGAGCAGCCTTGAGCACCTCCTGCAGTTCGGATCAACATCTTTAGTCTGCTTTAAACCACTTTAGACTGCATAAGCATGGCCCTGTGCAACATAGCAGTCTGGATAAACACTCTCACTGATTGTGATGGAACCACAGGAAATACTGTTATTCTGAGCTGCTATACAGTTCACTCTGTATTCATAACATACATCCAGTCGTTCATATGCAGGGTTGTACAGGTAATTGTGTGTGCATAAATGTGAGAGTTTGTGCCTGTAAGTGAGCCTCGCCTCATCACTGACGCATATGGAAGCTCTGTTTGCCACTTGTTTGAATGCTCATAGGTGATGGCGGTTGATGCTCAAGTCTGCTCCTGGTTTTAGTGAACTGCCTGACTTCGGTAAATGCATCTGTGACGTTTGTCAGCTGAAATCGTGGTTAGCTCGCTGACATGATGACCTTTTCGCATCAACCTTTTACTTGTTCCATTTTGTATGATGTGTATGTATGTGTGTGTGTGTTTGTTTGTGGGCTTGTGTGCACGAGGTTACTTCAAAGGTTTCAAGTGTGAAAGAGCATCTGTAGCTGTACTTGCCACTAAGGCAGAGGTTTATAGTCAGGTTGGGCAGCATTTCACATTTTCTGTCTAACATTATTCCCATACATTGAGCTGCTGACAGAAGGACTTGACCACATAGTACTTCCAGTGCCCTATTTAACTGTATAGTCCTGGTTTCTGTAGCAGTCACACCCAAAACACAGGTGGAGTGTGTGATCATGGCACACTTTGTGATTGGTACTGTGTGCAATAATGCACGAAGAGTTGGTCTGATAAGGGCTGCAACTAAAGATTATTTTAATAATTAGGTAATTGGTTAATCTGAAAAACATTTGTAGATTCATTGATTAATTGCTGAGGCTATAAAAAAATCTGAAAATAACAAAAATTGCCCATTACATTTTCTGAGCTTAAGGTCACATATTTAAAGTTTGTGCTTTATTTGACCAAAAAACCTAAAATGTGACATTTTTATGCAATATACAATGAAAAGCAGGAAACCTTTACATTAAAAAAAACTAAAATTTGCAAATGTCCAAGTTTTTTACTAGCTATGGTTGACACTACGCATAGCATTTTCAGTGCTAAGTTGTGAATGTTAGCATGCTAACATGCTAAACTAAAATGGTCAACATGCTAAAAATTATGCATACTAAATATTAGCATGCTCTCGTTGTTATTGTGAGCATGTTAGTATTTATTTAAGTCAAATCCCAGTGTCATAAGTACAGCACAGTCTCAAAGAGCTGCTAGCATGGCTGTAGACCCTTAAGGCCCTAATGCTATAAAGGGGGGGGGGGGGGGGGGGGGTGGG